AGGAAAAAGAAGGTAATAGATTTAGGTTCAATCTGATGGATAAGGGAAAGCTTTCAAAAGATTTAGGCTTCGTTTGGGGCAGCGGTCGAGGAGCGGCGCGGCAAGCAGACGCCATTTTGCGTCGTTTGGAGCGGCAGCAGCAAAACATCACGGCGACTTTTGTAATTTAACGAAAAAGCGGGCCGCGGGATAGACCCCGCGGCCTCCCGTGGCCCCGCGTTTGTGCCCTATTATTACATATTACCCCTGCAGGATAGACCAGTCACGAGCTTCCATCCTCCCTTCGTCTTCAGTCTCCGATCTCCAGTCACGAGCTTCCATCTCACTTCGTACCCTCTGCCTCACTTTCAGCTCTTAATTTCTCCAATTCCAAAATGTTCAGAAAGACCATCTCCGGTCTCCAGTCAATTTCTCCCTCTACTTGCCCCCATCGGAGGCTCCTCCTGAGGTCTTTCTTGGAAACCTAGATAGATTCTTCTATGTGCACAAGATATTTGATCTCTGCTTTTCTTTTCATTCAATTGCGACAAAGATTGTTAGTGCTATAATGATATTTGTCTCCGTTGGAGGAATTGCACTGGATTTTTTATTTTGATTTTGGGAAACCAAATTGTACGAAGATCATATGCTTTTGGGCACAATTGAACTGATATGGCTATGCTTTTAATTTTCTCTGTTAAGGAAGCATGTCTGGTTTACAATGCGTGAGTACCGACTATGTTTATTGAGGAAATGAATTTGAAGAAAGTTTGATGTCGATTTTTAACAACGGTGTTCTGCGATCCCTTGGTTTAAGTTTGTCAAATATTTCTGTTTTGGTTTGAGTTTGCTTATGAGTATATCAAATCTTTATACATATTAAAATTTTCTTATTTTACTTGTAATTTTATTAATTTTATTTCTTTTTTTAGCACTTTCGGGACTCATTGTTAAGTGAGGGTATATAAACTTTTTGTTCTGTTTAAAAATGAATTTCTGCTTCAGAAATTTAAAAAATGTAATTGTTACAGCCTTCTTTAAACAATTTTACCAAACAGGGGCACCATGGTCATTTTTCTAGAAACAGCTGCCCCACAGCTGTTTTAACACAGTTGCACCAAACAGACAGTCAACTTCTCCGCAGCTGCTTCCTGGGGCAGCACAGCTGCAGCTGCGCTAAACAAAGCCTTAGTGGTTGAAATAATTCACCATAATTTAATTTAATGATAGATATTTATACCAATAAAAATATTTCTATTAAATTTAGGTTTTAAAAAGAATGGTAAAAAGCCTTTTTTTATTGAGATGAGAAATAAATCTCAAGGTGGATATATAGTGGTCATAAATGCCATAAACAATTAGTTGTTTAACTTAGTTCATCATGATAATTGAAAAGAAAAAATACATTATAAGAAGAAAGAAACTTCAATCTTAAATCTTAATCAAATACTTGTAATTCTTAAGTGAAATAGAGTTTAAGTTTTAATTAATAACTAAATACATAATTAGGATGAAGATTCACATCATCCTCTTTTTTACTTTCAACATATTTGGAAGGATTATTATCTGTAACAAATCCATCATCTTTCAATTCAACCTGATAATTTCTTCAATTTTCTATTACCAAATTTTTTTTTCTTGCTATATATATCATTTAACATTTGATTTAAATAAAATTAAAAATTAATAACTCTATTTAAAGAGGGACATAGAAAGGTGAAAAAAGAAGGGAATGTACTTGAGCTCAATTTGGCGAATAAAGGGAGGTGTTAATTGAATTTAATAGTTGAATAAAAAACTAAGTTTTTGATGCATTTCTATGCTAAAAAGTTTCTTCTGAGCGGCAGGCAGAATTTTCTATCAGCAGTATAATTTAGCATTAAGTTTAAGTTATACTGGAATGTGATGAGAAATCACAATTCTAGAGAAAAATATTTAGTATTTTCTAAATCATTCTACCATTTAAGTTTTATGTAAACTTGAATTTCCAACTATTAATATGATTTAGTATAAGAATCTGAATGACGTAGGTGCTAGAAGCAACACCCGAGTGAGGGCATTGACGTAGGTGCTAGAACCACGGGGCCAAGTCGCCCGAAACTTCACAAGTGCGGGAGATCCCGCGCGAAGGCTGGAGGGATCGCGTGCATTCGTTGGTGTTCATGAAGATACAACTGGTGGGAGATGTCATAACGAGCTTATGTTGCTAGCACTTCTTTTTAGGCACTTTTGTGTATTCCCTGGTGTTCACTATGGGAGTCCATTATCCAAAAAGGCCACAACGAAGGACTAACAGGTCATTTTGGCAGGGACAAGACTCTCGCCCTCGTAAGAGAGCATTTTTTTTGGCCAAAACTGACAAAATATATAGAACGACATGTCAAACAATGCAAAATTTGTCATTTGGCAAAGACGAGAGCTCAAAACACTGTATTATAAACCACTTCCAGTACTAGAGGCACTGTGGGTGGACCTCAACATGGATTTTGTGCTGGGACTTCCAAGGACTCAAAGGAACAAGACTCTGTAATGGTTATAGTAGATAAATTCTCCAGCATGACCCACTTTGTACCTTTTCACTGGACACTTGACGCCTTTCACATCGTCGGTCTATACTTCAGAGAGATTATAAGGTTGCACGAAATTCCTAAGATCATCACCTTTGATAGAGACATCAATTTCCTGTGCCACTTTTGGAGGGCACTGTGAGGAGAGCTTGGTATTAATCTCCAATTCAGCTCGACATCTCATTCACAGACAGACGGACAGAGTGTAGTAAATCAGAGCCTCGGTAATCTCCTAAGATTTTTCATGGGAAAAGTCATAAAACAGTGGGAACTTATTCTAGCCCAAACCGAGTTCGTTTATAAGCGATCCATCCGCCAAACTATTTAATGAACTCCTTCGAGATTGTGTACGGACACAATCCGCTCACACCACTAAATTGGTTCTGCTCCTACCATTTTCGAAAACTTGCAAGGATGCCACAGAATGAGTTCACGAGATTCAAAAGCTCCATGAATAAGTTGGCAAGGGGATTGCTAAGCACAACCGCAAATACCAGACACTGGCAAATAAATCCAGGAAGAATGTAACATTTCAGGAAGACGACCTTGAATGGTTTCGATTAGAAAAGGAAAAATTTTTTTTGTAGGATCATTTGAGAAGCTTAAGCCAACAGCAGATGAACCTCTTAGAGTACTTCATAAGTTGAAAGACAACGCTTCTAAGATTGACCTACTTGGGGACTACAACATTTAGCCACGTTCAACGTCGCTGACTTTACACCATACTTTGAAGAGCCTGGAGTTTCGAAAAATGATGTTGAAGCTTCCCCAACCCCGGGTGACTGACGCAGCCGATAGAAGCAATGCCGAGTGTGGGTGCTGAAAATGCCCCAAAGCTTGGCGCTTCGAATCTCGGGGCCAGAAGCCCCGCAAGACTTCACGGGTGTGGGAACTCCGCGCGAAGGGCTGCGATTGCGGGATATTCCGCGCAAAGGCTGGGTGATCGCGAACCTTCGTGATCCAGGAAGGCGCCTCACCTGTCTTCTTGGGGCGGTTCTAGTGGAGTTGTCATTTGATCTCTTGTGTGGAGTCTTCTCCCTCTTGTTAGGGTTGTATCCTACGGTAGGTTTCCGACACCTTTTCCTACCTCTCCAATAGGTTCCAAGCACCCCCATATTCCTCCACCACTCTACTGCCACCCCTACTTCCTTCACGGCTTCGCCGTCCAACCTACTTACAACCAGCCAAACACAATTCCTACCTATCCAAATAGCCACTCACCCCGTCGGGGCCGCCACCGCCTTCGAATCTCTTCCTACAACCCTAAATAGATATTTGTCTATTATTGTATTTCCCTTTTGTTTGAGTTGTGTTGTAACACCACTTTTATATTAATAAAAGTTTGCTTTTTGTGTTCCACCACATCCCAACTAGTTCTGGTATCTCTGTAGCTAAATATGCGTATAAATTTTATGATCTAATTTGAATTTTTATCCGAGTTACAAAAATTAAAAAAAAATAGTATTTACTAAAATTGATAAGTTATCTGAATGTTCATTTTTTCTTAAAAATAAAAATAATGTCATATTTCTTTATAAACCATTTAATGACTGCACTATAAAATATAAAAATAAAAAAATCTCGCCCCATTTAAACTGGAACTATCATTATGGAGCGCGCATATGATGAAATCCTTGTAAGTAGGTTGACCATCACCATCTCACCTTTTAGTGAGCCATGAAGTTAAGTAGTTGTTACATTTTTTCTAAGGTTCTTGGGGCATTTACATACATACCACTCAATTCTTATGTTTTTACATATCTAACGCTAAACTTTACTTTTTACAAATATATCACCCTAATATTTCATGTCACATCAAAATTACCAATTATAATTTTTAAAAGTTGAAATACACCTTTTAATGCAAGGTGACATATATGTAAAAATTGAACTTTTGGTGCTAGATATGTAAATACATATGAATTGAGTGGTATGTATGCAAATCTTCCAATGTGCTTTTAATGAAGCAGTTTCCCTATACAACACCTATACTTTTTTTGATGATATGTATCGCAAGATCTAACAACTATTCTTAAGAAAATCATTGGGTACTCATTGTGTTTAATCGTAAGTTTTTCACCTTGTTTTGCTTCGTATGCGTAGCTTTTTTCCTTAGATGTCTTATAGTGATACCGTCGTTCTCTAAGCATACTTTTCATTGTTTGTTTGCTCTATTTTCTAAGCATCGTGCTAATGGAAAAAAAAATATTACTTCGGTTAATGTTGAATATTAAACTATATCTTATGCTGTGAGGTATATCTAATTTTTAATAAAACTAGTCATGCTTCAGCTCATTTCTGCTCTAAGCGTTTTCCTGTATTCACCTTTTGGAAGCTCCATGACCAAGCTTCTACTACATATCACATTTTTAGGAAGCTCGGTTTACATGCACAAATAAATATTATATTTATTTGATTTAGTGATTGATGGGAGTATTTTTTATTCCATTTCAGATACTTGATACTGCTTTTAAGAAGGAAACAGTTGGTCTGGTCACCAGGGAACAATATGTTGAAAAGGTATGAAGAACTTTATGAAGTTATATTCTTTTTGTCTTTGGGAATTTACATACATATCCATAATTCTTATGTATTTACATATCTAACTCCTAGAGTTTGATAGTTACACTTGGAACACCTTGGCATCATAAACCTATGAATGAAAGGGTGTCTTTCACTTGTAAAAGGTACCAATTGTGTTATGTTTTATGTGATGCTAAAGATTTGAGTGGTATGAATGTAAATATGAATATTTGGGTGCTAGATATGTAAATATAAAACAATTGTGTGATAAGTATTTAAATGCCCCATATATTATTGAAGACTAAAACCATACATCTATCTGCTCCTATCTTATGAAAATATTATCTATTGAAGCGAGTTAACATCCGGAACAAGATTGAGGAAGAGGAGAAAGAGAAACTTCAGAAACTACAACAAGAGTCCGTAATTTCTTTCATCCGAGTCGACTTTCGGATGTATAAGTCCTACATGGTGTTGAATTTACTGCCTTCTTTCAATTTAGGGAAGAGGAACTTCAAATGCAAAAAAGGAAAAAGAGGAGGGTAAAAGGTGATGCACGTCTGTCATTCAATGAAGATATTGACAATGGAAGTGATGAGGAGGATGCAGAAAATGGTAAGAGCGCCTTAATCAAAACTTTTTCATTTGATTGATTAAATGTTGAATAGGCGCGCGTAGTAAGTATTCTGACTAAATATTATAGATTGCATGATTTCAAAGTTTTTGGTGGACTGTTTTGATAATTTTTGCTCATATTATTTCTGTTTATTTCAATATGAGTTGTTAGCAATTGTTTCCCTTTTGGTTAAGCAGAAAATGAGGGGTTATAAAAGGTGATTGTTATGCAAGCACTCTTATAAGTGAATTTTGTTTCTCAAAGTTTCATTTGAGGTATGATGGACATATAAATCTTGGTTTCAAAATATGAAGAAAACTGAAAATAATGTTTTGGTAGAAAGGTAATGTTGCTTTTGATATCCATCTTAATGTTTTTTTAATTTATCAAAATGAAGTGCTATCAGGTGGTGATGGGAATGGGGGTGGGACACAATTTGCCCTACAATTATGTTTCCTTATTATGATTTCAAGTTTATAGGTTTGAAATTTGAAAATTGTCTCTTTGCTCAACAAGAGCAAATACCACTTTGCATCTTTTTACCTCTATTGAAGCCCTATAATGACAGTGGCTTGTGCTTTGGGAAAGTGATCGCCAATATGAGATGTTTGAATGCAGCTGTTTAAGAATGTAGCAAAAGGACACCAGTAGATGAAAGTCATTTAATTTTGAAGCATTTACATAGATACCGCTCAATTCCTATGCTTTTACATATCTAACACCCGAACTTCGATTTTTTGCATTTATAACACCCCTATCTTTCATATCACATAAAAATTACCTCTATTTTAACTTTTAAAATTTTTTTTTTAACCTATTAATGCACAGGTAAGGTGATATGTATGTAAAAAATTGAAGTTTAGGTGTTTTATTTGTAAATATATAGGAATTGAGTGGCATGTATGTAAATCCTTAATTTTTGAGTAGTTAAGGTTCTGCATGACTAAATGAATATTGTCATAATTTTTATATTTTTTCTTTATAACTTGATCACCCAATTTGAGGCTATCCTCGTACACGTTTTTATAGATGGTCAAATTCATAGAGGTGAGAAGCCTTTAGAATTGGGTAAAAATTGGGGCAAAGGTGAGAAAGTCTAAAATATAATTTGGGGATATGTAGAATGATGATCGTTTAGATAATTTGCATAGCAGTGGATCTGAAATTAATAATTATAACTTAATAATGTTGAAAGGTCCAGTGGCACTATGGAATGGTAGTTTAAAGTACCTTTCGTCTACCATACAAAGGAATGTTTATTTAATGAGGTGATTGCTTTATTGTTAAACTAGATTGGTTGAAATAAGTGCTTCCTGAGTATCATAATAGAGTTGGTATTTTATCAATAGTGTGTGGTTTATTTGGTTTTCTAATTGTTAGGTTTTTTTCTTACAACTATTATTTAATTAACTTGTTTCCTCATTTTTTATCTCCATTGATTTTCTACTATTTTTTCATTATAGTACAACAAAACATTATTTTTTAAAGAAAATTAAGAAGAACATTGAGATCAATGTTATCAAAGTGAAAGACACAATGTGATTTGTAAGATTTTATTTTTTGTTCAAAGCTTAAAGCACAAATCAAAATGGCACTTTTATTAACCAAAGCACGAGTACATTATATAAAACTATTAATATATAAATATATTCATAAACAACTATAAAACATAAAATATAATTTAAATATTGATATAAAATTGAAAAAGAATATGGTAAATACCTAATATGAACACAAATATTGAGAGAGAATGTTTATTTCTTTTGAAAATCTAAAATTTGAAGTAAAATTTTTTAGCATTAATTAAATTATCCTCTAAAACCTAGCCTTTTTTGGTGCACACTCATTACCTAAAAAAGGGATGTTTACATAATACCACCCAATTCATATGTATTTACATACCAAATACCTAAATATAATATTTAAAAATTGTAGTTTAGGTCTTAGATATGTAAATACATTGGAATTGTGTGGCAAATTCTTCCTAAAAGCATATAACATGAGATACCTTGGGCAGCTTACGGACTCGATGAAGTGGGTTCGGCGAGGCGGGTTTGGTAAGCTCGGCATTTTACTTGGTTGAAGTTCGAAGGCTCTCCACCCTGTGGGTTATGTAAGCTTGGTCTGCTGCTCCATTCGATTGAAGGTCCCCTCTCAAACCCTAAGCAGATTCTCGCATATGCATCCTGTGATTGAAGCACTAGGTCAAAATTGAAGGAAGACCATAGCATTCAAAGCACGCTTGGAAATCTTGGTTGAAGTCAAAGACTTTGCTAGGCTCGCATGTGCTCCTTAATCTCTCGAACACGACTATCCTCTCTTTGGGTTCCTTGAACACTAGGTTGGACCAATTAACTTCAGTCACTTCAACGAAGAAACGGGCGTCAAGCTCTTTGCTTCGTTTTATGTGTGATGCGTGTTTTTGAAAACATTGATTGAAATATATATTTCTCAATCTTTATTTTTGATAATTTCAATTTGATTTGTAGCTTCTAAGGCACGCACACACACACACACACGTGGTTGCATGCTAACTATTAAATTTCAATATATTTTTATATTATTCATCCTTCATTGTTCTTGTACCGGCGTCTCTATATTATATTTGGCCCTAGTCACCTTCATAATTTACTTGTATACTTTGTTCTAATTATTTGCTAGATTACATTTTCTTTGAACATTTACTAAAGTCTGCATGTATAATTAGTATTTGAAAGTATAAATGGAATGAACCTTGGTGGCTTTCCACATTTTGGTAAGAAAAAAATCGTTTTTCTCTTTCCTTTGCATAGTTGGCATATTTATACTGGAAACACTAGTTGTATGGATCCGAGTGTTTAGAAAAAAATGCTTGCAATAAAATTAATTATGTTGTAAATGAGACTGTTAAGGTGACTTTTATAAGGTTGTAATAATAAATGATTATATTTGAGACTGTTAAGGTGGCAAACAAATATGAGGTCATAGAAAAGAATTGAGAGAGAGAGACAGCGAGAGAGCGAGAGAGCGAGAGAGAGGGGGGTGCGCACAGAAGGTAAAGTAGTATATCATATGTGGCTTTGAAGTTAGAAAAAGGTCTGCATACATTTGTGTTGGTACAAATCGGGACATTCTACTAAAATTTATAGAGGATAAGGATTGAAATCCTTCCCCGAAAATCTAAAAAAAATTCCTTTCACTTAGATTATCATTGCTCTAGTCTTTTATATATAATGACTGTAATTTTAAAGGTCATACTGCTTTTGGAGTTAACTTTTGTGTAAAGTATTTAAAGCATTTAATGTGCGAATCATCAATGAGAAAATTTAGTGAGATGTTATCATAATATCATACTATTTTTTATGTTCAATGTAAAAGTGGAGGACGCATCAATATCACAACTTAAATAATGTGAAAGGATCAAGAATGAAAAATGGTAGATCACATTTACCATCATTAGAAGTTGTGCAAAGGGTTGCATAAGTTAGCAAGTATTTGTGAGGATTCCAGTTCTTCTTCTCCATTTTGTTTTGGTTGTACTTATTTGCAATAGCGATATCCAAGTCTAGCACTCTTTAATTTCAAGAAGGAACAACTGTTGGGAGTTCATAAGTGGTTATATGCAATTTGCTGTTATGAGTGGAGATTGATTTGGTGAGCAGTGGGATAGAGCACCCGACACCTATACGATGGGTTGTGGGTGCATATACACTCACTTCGTTGCCGCTCGAACAGAGAAGTCTTCGCCTATGCACCTATATAGATATATGTTTCCCAAGAGGTTGGTGCATAGGCGCCAAGTTCGGGTGCCTATGTGCTAGGAGCGGTTGGTGAACGTGGGGCCTATGCGCCAGCGGTTGGTGTTGGGAATTGATTTTTAATCCCAATTTCGAGCAGTGTAAGGATGAGTTTGGTGTTTCTTCCTTCGGTATTCTTCGAAGAGCATCTCGGTGGAGGTGAGGAGTGTCGAAGAGGTGGATTTCGGTGATTTGACGTGATTTTGGCGTCGAATCATAAAAAAAAGATTGTAGAGCGAGTCCTGTAAATTTTCTTTATGTGTGGAGAGAAAACTTGTGTGTTTTTTATAAAATCTTCTGAATTTTATAGTGTACATTTATGGTGGTGCGATTATATAATTTTTTTCCCATTCTCAAGTTTTTTTCACATAAATTCTAGTGTATTTTATTTTACGATGTGGTTTATTCTCTAATTATTCTACGATGTGGTTTATTTTCTAATTAATCCTAAGCCCTGGTAAAGTTGGGAATTGTGCTTTGTGTGATTTCTATCAACTGATATCGGAGTGGGTTTCAATTAAAATGGGAGCAATGGCCGAAGAAGTTAGATTCAAAGTAGAGATGTTCAATGAGGCAAACTTTGCTTTATGAAAGATGCAGGTTGAGGATTTGCTGTATCATATAAAATTATACTTGTCACTACAATGAATCATAAAGAAGCTTGAACCTATGTCTATGAACCAACGAGAAGTGTTGGATCGAACGCCACTGAGTTTGATCAGATTGATACTATCATCATCTGTTGCGTTTAACGTTGTGAATGTGATTATTGCAGTGGATCTCATGGCGGCATTAACCAAGATGTATGAGAAGCCTTCTGCTTTCAATAAGATTTTTTTGATGAAGAAGTTATTCAACATGAAGATGGTGGAAGGTAGTTCAGTGACACAACATCCCAATAACCATATCATTGTGACGAGCCAATTGTGTTTTTTAAGGATCAACTTTGATAAAGAGATCAGAGCACTGGTGATACTATCTTCATTGCTGGAAAACTAGGATTGTTTGGTAACGACAGTGAGCAATTCTTCAGGGGCTTTTAAGTTAAACTTTGATGACATCGTGGGTCTGATACTGAATGAAGAATTTCACAGAAAAGTTGTGAATGGTGCATCTTCAAGCTCTGCATTGAATGCTGATAACAGAGAAAGAAATTTGGGCAGGAATACAGACAGAGATAGACCCAAGTTGAAGAAAGGAAAACCCAAGTCAAGTTGAAGAAA